GGAGTTTTTACTTCTCGAAAAGCGCACAGAGCTGGCTGCACTTTTCACTGACAATGTTTGGGTCACCAAACTTGCCTATCTTGCTGATGTTTTCGCTGAGCTGAACAAATTGAACAGTTCAATGCAAGGCCCCAATACACATGCCATTCATCTGTATGACAAAATGGAAGGCTTTCTAAAAAAAATTGGTTATGTTCACTGCATGTGTGTTCTGTGTTCACCTCTGCATGTGTGTTCAGTTCCGTGTGTCTGACAAATAAAGTCAAGACCCCCTCAAAAGTTACGGTTTATTTCATTTTAAGGATGAGCACCAAGCAACATCTCCAGGTGCTCCTTTGAGAACCAGGGCAAAAAAGTTATGTGCACCCCTGCTTATAGGCTTAGTAGAATAATACAACATGCATATTACTATACAAGAACGTTTAGCAAATAAGATAATAAGAAAAAAATTGGCATATTCCGACTTTTGACGTTCATATTTGAATTAGGATAAATATATATTTAAGTCATTTTCAAACATATCTTTGTCTGACATGAGTAATATTGCCATTTTGTATTGGTAAATATCATTCATTGTATCAACTGCAGGAAATAGTAAGTCCTCCTTATATATTCTATAACTGACTCTGACAAATAGCTTGTTTATTATTGTTTTAAATTATGCCATTTGTTTCTCTTTTGTATCTTTATGCGTAGTTATAAAGAACTTAACTATTTATTTCAATGTCAGATTTTTTATTAAATCTTAATTGGTATTATGCATTATACAATTTATTTTGCTGCACTATCAGGTCCAGATGGCACCACTGCACTACTTCATCACAACATTGCATCTTTACCTTTGCCCTCTTGCTCGATAAAGTATTGTCGGCCAGAATAGCCATATACATATGCTGGCTTCCATACTGCAATATGCAGTAGGGCATACTTGTAGGTTTTATTTTTGTAGGTTTTTGGTTATATATGTATATATTTATATACATATATACCATTTCAGAATCAAACAGAGCACTCTCATAATAACGTAACGCTATCAGAGACTGGATATACTGTATATAGACATGTCTACCATCCTCTTAAAATATTCTGTCCAACAATATCAGTCTCAGGAAGAAATGTTTTGTAACGCTTATTAAAAGAAAAACATGCATTCTTGTACTCAGGAGGGGACATTGACAGAGGATTACTGGAAAAGTACACCATAAGTACTTCATACTTGTGGGGGTAGTTTCAGTAGTACTGAGTCCAACAGGGTCAATTTCACGAAGAACTAATGGCAACAAAAAAGAATTCCCTCGTCAAACTTTATTCTCAAAAAATACAAAATAAAAGTACTTCAATGTATTATTATTAGTAGGCTTACTAATAAAAAGTCAAACAGTATCAATTTCTTTAAGAACTAATGGTAACATTTTATTTGTATAATTCATCAAAGATAGCAGAAAACATGCATTATACATAATGCATAAATGCAGAAAAGGTTATGGTATAATTACAGAGCCTGTCAATTTATAAATTGAGGAAATCAATGTTAGTCTGTTAACCAAAGTGCAGCCATCTAATAATGTACTATCGTTAAAGATCAGAGGAAAGGAACAGAATGAGAGGGGTCAATCCGGAATAAAAATAAAGAAGCAAAGAGATTGTAGAGCAGTGAGAAGGAAAAAAGCTTGGTGTGTCAATTCATTACATTGGCAGTATTTTTCTTTGTTGTGAAAAATAATAAACCCCTCGGATTTTTTAACAGCCCCCTCCGCCATTTCATCCTGTAGCCGGGCCTGCCTACCACCTATGATAAATTCTGCAGTTGCATCCACGTAACCTACGGCCCGTCTACGATAAGCCTTGAACGGTTAGGACTCATGTTTCCTGCAAGTCAGCGTTGAGGGCGTTATTATAGCCCTCGAGGTTGACGTCATCAGTGTGCGTTGTTTCTCCAGACAACGCTCTGCTGGCTCACTTCATAATGCATAACGTTTAATTCATACATCAGGGACGTGTTGTGTCGCAGTTAAATCGATATTTTTGGTGTAAAGTGAGTACAGTTTGTAGTCGACCCTTAATTTATTTCATGGAGCCCGGAGAGGCCAGCGAGGCGGAGGCAGCAGGTAGTGTGTCTGCGGCGCAGAGGAGGGCAGAGATCCGGAGGAGAAAACTGCTCATGAATTCAGAGGATAGGATGAACAGAATCACGGGTTTCATTAAAATCGAGCCTGAAATCAAAGGTTGGTTGTTGTAGATGATCCAGTTTACATAAGAGTGATGTAAGAAGAGGCTTGACTATCACCTGCTCTATCACACTGCTGTTTAAAGCTACAGTCAGCTCTTTGTCATTATCCACATTTCAGTATATTCTGTATAAACACTGCTAGATACAATAGTTACTTTGTATTGACTTGAGTATTTGCATTTTATGTAGCTTTATCATTCTTCTCAACAACATATCAGATTAAATATTGTCCGTTTTCCCCCTGAAAATATATGAACAATACATTATACATTGTACACACACGACAATATTCACACCAGGGTACGCAGACAAATAGAAATGGTCAAATGCACAATTATTTTTTAATTCCAATCTATTCAAAATGCTTTGATCATTTTGCCATATTGATCTAGTTATTGTGAGAAGTGTCTAAAACCTTGAGTCAGTCCACCTCTTCCTATGGATGTGGAATGTGTCCATTAATAAAATGAAGTGTACACGCTTCTCTTTTCTTTTTTTATCACCTTCAAAATATCTTCAGGTTGTATTGTTTGCCATGTTTCATGTTAAACATCTGACCAAATCATTCTGGTAAACATACATTAAATGTGTCTCAGCCTAAGTAACTTTGCAGATTACATTAGTTTTTTGTTACCCTTTTAGTACAGTTAAAACCACATATCTCGATTTGGCAATAAGACAACCAGACTTGGATATTAGAAAAATAACTATTTATAATGACATCACACAGAGAAAAAAGCTGTATATTAAAACCGGATGATGTTTGTCATTCCCATCGGTACATAATTTGAACAACTTTTCTGCACTAGTTAAATCTTTGTCTAACATCCTCAGCTGCAGCGCTCCGGCGTCCAACAGAGCCTCGCTTCCACCTAGATCTGGACAGGACAGAGCCCTGGTCATCCTCCTCATCTTCCCCAAGACCGTCCCCTTTCCTGTCAGAGGCTTCGGGGCTCGTCAGCCGCTCCCGAGGTGCCACCCCCGAGAGGAGGGGGTCTCCTGTGCCTGACAGTGAGCCACTGGGAGGCTCTCTGGAAGACGACATTGGAGGGATTCGCCCGAAACCCAGAGGGGAGCGGGTATCAGACGACCCCAGTGGCTCCCCACGCAGAGGCCTCCAGAAGTACCTGTCCCGGTTTGACGATGCCATGAAACTGCGGGGTCAGCTGGCCAATGAGAAGCCGGACCAAGATGGAGGGTCTGAACCAGAGGAGTTTGATCCCTTCATAATCTTCCGTCTCACTGGCAGCATCCTCCTCGCGGTTTTTGTCAGGGTTTTTGTCTGCACATTTCTGGTGAGTCTTTTGGCTGTTTTAACTGTGTTAACTATGACAACTGTGAGAGTGAACCATGGGTTATTTGGCATCTTTAAACTGTGGTAGGCAGGATTGTTCTCCCATCATAGGGAACAATTCCATAATAACTTTTTTAGAGAATGTAATGCTCTCTGTCTTAAGTCCCTTGAACCAGATGAGCACAGTTATATTTCTTTATCCCTGAACACCCACACTTTACTTGTACCAAACTGTAAATACTTTTTTCTCAACCCACATTTAATAATAATCAGAATACCTTTATTTTTCCCACTGAGTGGAAGTCTACATGTGTTACAGTAAGCCAAAGATAGCTATATTAGGTCACCTGAATACCAGAAACGTAACATCTGTTTTGTGTCTTTTTTCATTCTAGTCAATATTTGCTCCATTTCTGACCCTCGAACTGGCCTACATGGGGTTGTCCAAATACTTTCCAAAGGTGAGTTGGTAAAACATATTTTATAATTCCTTTCCCATTGTTAGAGACTCGAATATAGCATGTATGAAAGGAGTGTTACTTGGATACAGATTCTTATATTTTTAGCCATGTTTTTGCAGAAGTTATACTATAAAAAGTTACTATAAAGGTGTGAAAACGTACAGTCCTATTTATCATTAATTCATGTTTCCCTTTCTTTATTTTTGGGAATGTACCGTTTCTCACAAGATGTAGTATTAGTTGTTGACAACAATTGGGTCCCATCTAAACATAACCCATTGATTGTGAATGTATTTGTATCGTGTATTTATATTCAAAGACACACCAGGCTGCTGGTAGTAACTTCTTTGAGGTTTCAAGAAAACCAGTGGAGACTGGTTGACTCAGGGAAGTCACTGCCATAGCAAATAAATATTCCAGTAACTCCCTGTTTAACCGTTGATCGATTTTCCTTTAAAAAATAAATTGGATAAATTCTAACGAGTTAAAAAATACTAACTTGCAGCCATGCATCATAGGGTAAAGGTATTATTATTATACTCCTGTTCCTCCAGGTAGATAAAAAGCCCCAGACCACCGTGCTGACCGCCGCCCTGCTGCTGTCCGGGATCCCCGCTGAGGTCATCAACCGCTCCATGGACACCTACAGGAGGATGGGGGACGTCTTTGCTGACCTCTGCGCTTACTTCTTCACCTTCATCCTCTCACACGAGATCCTGCTGTTCATTGGTTCAGAGACTCCCTGATGGACCATGGGGAACTTACTAACCCCGCCCCCCTTCTTGTTATCACTTCCCTCTCTCTCCCATAGCAACAGTGCATGGTCGTTTATTTTGGCTGACGTGGCTTTTGTTGTGGACAGTCTGCAAACGAGTCCTTACTGCCTTATGATCAGGGTTGTACATGCGACCAGAGTCCAGTGTGCGTTACAGATCGTCAGGTTATATCTGCTCCGGGCTGAACCTGTGAAACAGGAAGACGGCATGTGTTTGCTTTTGAAAAGATGTTCTGTGGCATTTATCGTGCTGAGGAATATCTATTTGTCAGGTCTAGCACAGAAAAAAAATCATACTGAAAAGTAGAAACCAGTTCAGCTTAGTGCATTTAAGTTATTAAAGCGCTGAGTGATAATTCTAAAACTCACAGCATTCAGTAAACATTTCTAGTAATGATGCATATCACAGTATGGAAAGTGTATGCCAAATCACATAAAGTAAGAAAACTGTTTCAATGCAATGACCTATTTTCTAGTTTACATTACATCAGAAAAACCAGAGGAGGATTTAAAAAAAAAAATCGTTTTGTTCTAAGGTATCTCTCTTTTTTCTCAAGTTTCTGACTTGAATCTTCACATTAAAGGTTTCTTTCTACACATAGGGCCCTTTCCCCTGTCAAAATAAATCGGCTATCCAGAAAAGAAGATAAAGAAAATAAATGACAATGAATTTACTTGGGACAAAACTGAATTTCTTCTCTATCCCCTACATATGTTTTGATTGTTAAAGTCCCAAAGGTGGAGTGTCATACTTATGATCCTCCATTTTATAGTTAGTAAGAGATTTAAAAAGATGATTTGAACATTTTACAGTAACAGGTTCCCGATTTTTATTTGGTGTCTAAAGAACTTGAACTCTCTTTCAATTACAACTTTTCCTTTCTTTGTCTAAGAGGTACAAGAAGCATTTAGTCCTTGAATGTGGTGTGTATTATTTTGCATGGCTATAGGAGCTTAAAACACAGTAAACTTCATACTATATAATACTAGTAATAGTAAGTGTGGCTGAGGGGAATGTTTTGGGTTATACTGGACAGTACTCCCGCTGGAAATGTTTTAGGGGCAGTTTGTATGCTTATTTGTGTTGAGTAATTCTGGTGATGTGTCCTGCTTTGCTTTGTTTGAGTCTCATGCATACATACTTCATATATACCCTCTACTACTACTTTTGTGCAGTAATGTCTTCTCCATAACTTAATTCATCCAAATTATTTATTAATGTGAATGTATTATTTCATGTAAATGAATTGGACTTGTCAGACCTTGATTATTTTTGATAACGTTTACAGAATAACTGTTTGTAGTGGCTCTCACAATATGTTACTTCAGTAACAAATTCAGTGTTACAATATAACCTAATGATACGTCTCTAAATAAAGACATACGAATGACTAACCGGACCATTCAAACCAAATAAATACTACTTGTGTGATATATCGTATTTTGACTCGCTTTTTTCTTTTATTTAAGGTTAAGTTATAGCAATGTATAGGCAAGGATAGCATTATTGTTGTACATTTCAGAATAAAGGGTCTAAGGACAAAGGGTGTCATGATTTCACATCACCTATTTTACACCAGAGTGTAAATCCCATAAATGCACATTTGTGACTTGTAATATTTGGTTATGTAAATATTATTGACTTTAAATCCTTGAAATGCAAAAAATAAATGTGATGTCACATTAGGAAGAGACCAAATGATAAAAACTAAAACCCAATCATAAGGTTAGAGTCATTTCCGAGTTAATGTAGAAATGTATAACGTAAAAAAGTATTTTTAATCTTCACTTTTTTTTCTAGTTAATGTAGCAGAGAAAAAAAGAACTCTTCAATCGGATGTTTCATAAAGAAAAAATATAACTTCAGAATGATGTATACTTTCAAGTTCTTTGTCGATGCACAAAAATGACATTGTCGTTGACAAAATATGTAACTCAATCAATTCTCAATGTTTCTGTCATTGGGAGCTGTGTAGAATGAATTATTTTACTTTTTGAAATTAAGTGCATTTTGATTCCAATTCTTGTATACCTTTACTGGAATTGACTTTTGAGTAACATTTTCTACATTGTTGTATTGCTACCTTTAATTAAATGCAAGAGGTGCCTTTGCCTGTGCGTATGTGCTGCCATTGTGCTCATGTGTTTTTCTGTGCGTATGTGCTCTTGTATGTTTTCTTTCAATGCCATCAACCTGCCAGGGACTGCAGATGAAAACTAGCCTCTACGGCTAAATCTGGCACATTTATATGATGGACGAAAGTGCTCATGTTGATTAATGTGCATTGTCCCTTCTTAAATAAATAAATACAAATGATATGTAAACAGTTTGTAAAACAGTAGTGATGTAGGCTATAAAATACTTGAATACAACAAATACTTCCAGTATTGCCCTTTTCTAAAAGAGCATATTAAAAGAGGTCTTTGTTTATATGTCTTTTCTAGAAATGTTATTTGAAAAGAAAATATTTGGGACACTGTTGCTTTGTGGCAGTGTTGTAGTGCTGACCTCCCTCCACGCGGGGGCGCACCACGCGGCTCACAGCAGGAGTTTATGAAGTTAGCGCTGTCGCAGTTTACTAACGTGGTGCTTCAAAAGACACAAACAATCGTCCACGGCACCAAGTCTGTGGAGTAATTTCACTTTTTTACAAGATATAACCTCTTGAAAGAGCGATGGGACGTGAGTCGAGGTATGTGAGAAATATCAGGTTAATTTGGTGTTAGAATCTCCATGGTGACTAACTCCTGTGGCCGTTAAAAACGTTGTATTGTTGATTAGCATGCTAGCTAAAACACATAATGTGAATTCAGCCCACCCGACAGTTCCTCTCATATACTGGTGGGATATGAATGAATGTGTTTTCTTAACCCTTCTGTGATACTCGGGTCAAAGCTGATCGATGTACTACTTTCATCAATGATATATTGTGTTTTACATTGCATTGACTCAAGGCCCTCTGATATCCTCCCCAGTAGGCATTTGAACATATAACATTACTGAATTTGAACATATAAAATGACTTTCATTGTATTTTGAGTAGTTTAGACAACTTTGTAACACATATGATGTTCCAGGTCAAAAGTGACCCCCATAGGAAATGAATGGGTAACCCTAGATTAGGTTCATCAGATAGTACACTCTCAAATCGACATGTTATACTTGGAATACATTTTTTAAGTGTCTATTCTTTATATATTCTTTCTTTCAGTATGACTTTTTTAATTTATTTGCATTTTAATACATTATTTGATTACAAGGCATTCGTTGTTAAATAGATACATAAAGTAACCACATAACAATCTACAGATCAGGAAAAGAAAACAAATACACATATTTATAATAACTTATAAGGCATAGCTTACACATAATGGGTACAACATTCAAACTCATACATACTTGTACTTCTTACCACCTGGTCATTATAATTGTTTTGTGTTCTATAACTTAGCCATTTTCCCATCTTTCCTCAAAGATATGAACTTGGTTTCTAATTCTCATGGTTATTTATTCCATTCCATACATTTAATTTACTTGATTCTTCCATTGAGTTAATTAAGTTGTTCTCTTAACCAATTCCTTGTAATTTGTTTAATATTTGCTATTCTTTTTGTAATAAGTAGGAATTCCTTGTGCATTCATTGCAGTTATTCATGTGAACAGTAGTCTGAGACATTGTTTACAGCTTAAGAGGGGGTTCAATAACATTTGGTATTGATTAATGGGTTTTGTGTTAATGTAAAGGCAGTTAAAACAGACGGGTCAAATGTGACACCAAAGTAAAGAGGAGAAATGAACAAGTGGTTGTGTTTGTCTGCTCCTCAGACACTACAGGAAGCGCTCTACGTCTCGGGGCCGGTCAGGCAGCCGATCAAAGAGTCGCTCCCCAGACAAACGCTCCAAGAAGGACGACCGGGACCGGAACAGGAGGGAGAGGTCCCGCAGCCGAGACCGCCGGAGGTCCCGTTCCAGAGACAGAAAACGACCCAGGTGTGTGTGTGTGTGTGTGTGGAAAATGCCAGTGTTGAAAATCAGAATCATATATTGAGTTTATTGCCCGGTACGTGTACACATACGTTAAGGGCTCATTGCATTGGGGGAATATTGTTTCAGAAAACATGAAATGCACGTCTCCTTGAAACCTAATCCATGCTGCAGGGTTTGTGCAGAATTTAAATGCATTTATTACATGGTTATATATAAAAAGGACATCAAGTTGCAACGGACAGCATGATAAGATAAGATACGTTTAAAGCAGCAACAGAGTGAGAGTGAGAAACGGGACAGTTCAGAATCACACGAGGATAACACAATAAAAAAATGTTATACGTAATTGTTCAAATTTAGATATCATAACAAGGTAATCGTTGATAATTTGAATGAACATACACATATTGGAGATCGGGTTAGTAAATATATTATAATGTGGTCATTGCAAGCATGGGTCACTATAAATATGACCACTTTATAATGGACCATATTCAACAGATTCAACGAGCCCTTCATGACAAGAAGCAATTACCATAAAGTGGGAGCTTGTCGTACCTCAATGATACCATGATCTCCATCACAAGGTTTCATTTAAGTTGCTTGGGCTCAATGCAGTTAAAACCATAAAGCCCTGTGTTGGGTTACGATCTGTAAATCAGAACCACAATTACAGTTTATGGTCTTATTTGTTTGCATAAGCTCTAAAAGAAATGACATGGTTTCAGTGATTTATTTCAGATAATATGACGGAGCAAGTGAGAACATTGTGTGTTTCTATATCATATGTTTGTCATTGCTGTGCAGGCGCTCCAGGAGCAGAGAGAGGAGGAGGTCCAGGAGCAGAGACAGGAGGAGGTCGGGCAGCAGGACCCGGGCCCGGAGGTCCCGATCTGGAAGCAAGAGCAGAAGGCCTGATGAAAAGTAAGACTTCCTTTTTATAAAACAAAACTTCTCAAGAAAGCACTGACAGCTCTGGTAACTAAAACCACGCTGTGACATCTTCCCTACAGGCCAAGGAGCAAGGAGAAAGACAACATTGATCCTTTATCTGACAAGAAAAAGATAAAAGAGGAGAAAGAGGATGAGAAGATTGAGGATGTAAGTTTTATACATTTCGTTAACATCATAACACTACTTTGTAGATGGGCCAATGTTCCTGATCTTTCTTTGTGTCTCCATGCAGCAAGACTTTGACCAGAACAAGCTTGAGGAGGAGATGAGGAAGAGGAAGGAGCGTGTGGAGAAGTGGAGGGAAGAGCAGAGGAAGAAGGCCATAGAGAACATCGGGGAGATCAAGAAAGAACTGGAGGAGATGAAGCAGGGCAAGAAGTGGAGCTTGGAGGATGACGAAGGTGAGCAAACACCATTAAGAATGACTGCATAAGAGTTATATAAGAAATCTATTGGAATACGTTTACAAAAGAATATATATTTATTTATAATCTTACAGACTTGACCAGTAACACTTGAGCTTCAGCACTTCATTTCCATTCAGCCATTTCCATTTCATTGCAGATGATGACGAGGATATGTCGGCTCCAATGGAGGGGGACGATGAGGAAGAAGGGGAAGAGAAGGGGGAGGATAAAGAGAAGGAGATGATAAAGGAGGAGAAAAAAGAGGAGGGTGAGACGGAGCAGGAGACCCCTATGGAGCAGGAGGAGGAGGAGGACGACGTGGACACTCTGGACGCCTACATGGAGGCGGTGAAACAGGAAGTGAAGAAGTTCAACATGGGATCCATGAAAGGAAATGATAAGGTGAGTTTTAAGGGGAAGATATGCATCACTTTAGCCGGAGACAAGTTTCCCAATGTTGTAGAAAGTATTCTAATGTTAAAGAACAATTTGTAGTTGCAGCTTATCGTAAAAGATGCTTCACATTATGTATTGACTTTGATAAGAGACCTGAAGGAACTGCAGCAAGATGGATGACCACCTCCTGTCTGTTGTCAATCTGTCTACCAGTGTTGGACATCTTTGTTCATTTGCCTTTACTTTGATTCGCCAAATGACCTGCATGTTTCTTTCCTCTGTCAACAGAAAGGAGGAACAATGTCAGTAACCAAAGTGATGACTGTTGTTAAAACCAAGAAGGGACCCAACACTCACAAGAAGAAGGGTGAGCTGATGGAGAACGACCAGGATGCTATGGAAGTAAGTAACACGAGTAACACTCGTTCATGATGGTTTGGGAAGCTGGAAACGCTTTTAAATACATTTCTTCAATACTAAGTAGGGGTGTAACGGTATACGTACCGAATCATTTCGGTACGTATACACGTGTGTACCGAAGTGTACTGAACGAATATAACGTTAAACGTAAAAAATTGAGAACGTGATCAACTTTNAAGTCACCTGTCATAGTTACCTTATTTAGGACAAGATGCCGTTTGCATGGCTGCAGTGGCGCTGTCTTCAAAGGTCCCTTCATCACCTTGCTGCTCTCCACCATGCAAACGGCATCTTGTCCTAAATAAGGTAACTATGACAGGTGACTTTTGTAAATGTTAGATGTTACATATAGCCTATATTGCAGCTAAACTACAACAATGCAGTTCATAGCTTTGACATGACCTGTTATGAACTATAATATATATGCCTATAGTTTTGTGTTAACGTTCACGCCACTAATGACAATAGTGTACAGTAGGCATACTGCTGCTGTGAGTTGTAAGCCTAAGACTCTAACCCGTGAACGTTACCACAAAACTATAGGCAATATTATTGTTCATAACAGGTAATGTCAAAGCTATGAACTGCATTGTTGTTTAGCTGCAATATAGGCTATATGTAACATCTAACNGAAAAAATGCATTGCTTTTTGAGGAAGGAACCGGAAGTGCTAAAAATGCTAACTTACTTCCTGGTTTTACGACGCGTCACTGCGGTTCTCTATATAGGCTATATGTAACATCTAACATTTACAAAAGTCACCTGTAATAGTTACATTAAGTAGCTGACGCTCAAAGGTCCCTTATTATTGTTTTGTCCTTTTTGAAGAGTGTTTAATGTATGCTTGAACTTTGTTTTATTTTGTAAAAATGATAAGAGTTGTCTTTCCGGAAGTCATGTGACCTCTTGCCCCGGATGTTTATATTGTGTTTGTGTGCGGTAAAAGTGTCAACGATGTGATAACGTAATTCTACTGCTGGTCTACTAGGCAAACACGTTTTCACGGTGTTTCATGATTGTGCAAAGAAGAGAATAAACGTGATTGTGGACATCGGTTCGATGCGTACTGTAATGTTCTTTCAAGACCAGAGTAGTTACACCTTATTTAGGACTAGATGCCGTTTGCATGTTGGAGAGCAGCAAGGTGATGAAGGGACCTTTGAAGACAGCGCCACTGCAGCGCATGCGCACTTCTTATCTCATAATTATGACTTTTTATCTCATTATTTCGACTTTTTATCTCATAATTATTACTTTTTATCTCATTATTTCGACTTTTTATCTCATTATTACTTTTTATCTCATTATTTCGACTTTTTATCTCATGACTTTTTATCTCATTATTTCGACTTTTTTATCTCATAATTATGACTTTACATGGGGATTTTATTTTTTTCAAGTGGCGGAAATGGGCTTCCATACGGCAATCTAGTAAAATGCTAGATTAATCACCAAGTTATATTTCTCAACATCAGATGATTCAAGAGTACCATTTGCATATCTTACATTTACTTTATTTGAACTCGGTTTTCCATAAAAGCACATCCACTTTTCCTTTGAACGAATGCAACAACCACTAGGTTGCTGCCGGGAAGATTGGTTGGTTTGTTTGTCAGCTAATGGTTATTCTGATGAGTATGATGTAAATTCTTCTTACATCTGTATGTTTTTATTACTCAAATGGAAAGCAGTGGAGGAAGATAGACAGGAAACAACACCGTGTTCATGTGGTTGGAAGGTAGGACAATGACTTGTCAAGCCCTGCTCCTCTTCCCAATTTGATGCATTATACCAGAGTAAGATGTTGCTAATTTAATTAAATAATCAGGAATTGGTTAAAAGATAACTTAATTCATAATGGTAGAATCTATTAAATAAAATGTAGAGAATGGAAAACATAACCATGACAGTTCATATTTTTGATAGATGCAAACATGCAAATAAAATAAGTTATCAATGCAAAATGTTCTGATACATTACCTTAACTTTTGTATGTTCACACACTTTTTATAATGCTACTTTTGTTTTACTCCATGGATGTGTACTTCTGTATCTTAATGTGTGCTTGCTGTAACATTTGAAATGTCCCAGTTTTAGGATTGATAAAGGATTTCTGCGAGTTACATGTGTTCGGTACGTGTATCTTTCCATGTAGCTCACAAGAAGTAAATGCCTAAACAATTATTTCGAAACATATCTTTAGTCATGAAAGTGAAGAGTTGATTCCCAGCCGGCTCTTTAATATATCATATTTGATAAGTCCAAACCTCTGGTTTACTCTGTACAAACACAGGCTATTTTTATTTTCATATTCTTATGAAAGACAGTTCTGTGCATAAAGACGAAAACATATGTCTGTTTCTAAATACATATTTGCTTATATAATACATAGATTACAAACTGTATGAAATCAGACCAAATCAAAAATCCTCAATTCACACTTAATTTCTTTCTTGACTGACTACTATTGGTCCATATTTATGTTTTGTAGTCTTCACTTTTACCTAATAAACACTGCTCCCCAACCAAAACACAAAACTACATTTAAAAAGTCCCAAACATTTTATTTCTTTAGCGTCATTTCACCTTAATGTTTATTCTAAAATCAGCATTTGTTCACCTTGATATAATGCAGTATTTTTCAATATACAAGTATCAATAAGCATGACTAAAGGATCACAATGACTTTGTTATGTCTGTGTTAAAGAATTTCCCATATCCTATTATATTAAAATATTTCATATATAGAGTCTGTATTTAAACAGAGGTTTAATAATAAAAAGTGACTTCCCATACAAGGCAATTATAGAATTTAATCAGAGTGGGAGTCTCATAAATTATTAGATAATCAGAAACAAAAAGAAGAAATGGACAAAGAAAACAGGGACGTCGTCAGATGAGTTCTGACTGAACAGACAGAAAAGATGACAGTTTTTGAAAGGACAGATCAGACTGATGAAAATGACTTTCCACACATTCAACGCAGTGACAACCAAGAGGTCCATCGGCCTTCAAACGTCCCTGCCTTCTACAGGTGAGATTACGAATTTGTTCGACACATAATTATAATGACTAAGAAATAAAAAAGCCCACGTTCTGTCCTTCAGGTTTGATATTAAAGAATGTTGTTAGAGCTCAGATGCCGTGTGTACAAATACTCCTGGTGACACTCAATAACAGTCTTTGAGCGCAGACATACTAATCTTCCCCATAAACCTAGTCCTAAGCATACACACGTTTGAATTGTTTTAGTAAAGACTGCTTTTTGAACAAAAACACCTCACACATACGTTTGCCTGGACTGTATCTGAACGATACCGAAGTTTGACAGCATTGTTCTATGAGAATAAACACTGATTCATTCAATCATTAACATAATCATCATCATCATCATCTTGGATTTCTTGCTTTTTTCTCATCTTCCGACGCACAGCTGCAGCTGGGTAAAAAGTTTCAAATAAGCATCAGAATCGATTTATTTGTCTCTCTCTCTCAGTCTTTGCAGTGTCCTCCAAATAGTTTGATTTGAGTGACGCTTCAGGTCAGTTCAGCTTTTCCTTAGAAAGAGAAGGTGGACCGGAGCTGGAGATGGAGATGGAGCAAGAGGGTTCCTTGAGTCTGACTCCCACTGCTTTCACACACACACGCACGTACACGATTCACATCCTCACTTCAGTGTTCCCTAGTCTCCACAGTCCCACTGAAGATTATTTGGAGATTTGCTGTTGGAGGTGGAGCAGGAACTCGTAGTACGACAGGGCCGACTCTGTTCGGTCCTCGATCATGTTCTGCATAAAAGTGGGTTTCAGCTGGCTCTCTTCCCTGAGAGTCAAATGAAAAAGAGTTGTTAGTCGCAATTGCTCTTTCATTTCAAGGAAGTGAAAAGAGGAGTGTTTGTTTGTATTATCAAAACTCTAAAAGATCTTTGGATGGCATAATTCTGATTATCCCATTTTGTTCCCTTATTAAATGATAATATATATATATATATATAAAAAAAAAGGCCTTCTGGATTCTGTTCAAGTTTTAAAACCAAAAAGAAATAACCCTCATGAGTAGCTTCAGCGGTACACAGTTTAATGATTTTCCAGCTACGTTTTTGGTCAGTTCAGTTATCACTGACTGTAAACTGAACAGCCAATATGTGAAGACGTAATCCGTTTTTAAGGGGCTTTGTCAAATGTATCTTAAAATGAGATAAAACAAGATCAACCTCCAAAATGTGAATCTACCAGCAGCTGTTGGCTTGTTTTAATTTCCCCACACTCTTGCTATTTGATTGTTTACTCTCTTATTCAGGATTGTGTCTGTTGCCCACCTGATGACATGCATTGGGGGGAAGAAGGGCCTCTGATCCCTCAGCCAACCGATGAAAGCTCTGGTTCTCTGCGACTCGGCCGTGTCCAGCTCTGGGAGCAGATACTGTGAGAGGAGAGAGCGACAGTCAGGTTTCACCATCAGGGAGGAGGATGCCTTGGGTAGAACTTCAAATATACTGTACACAAGTTGTGACTATCATTTGATCCTCAGGACCATTTGAGGGAATGTGTTGGTGCAACATGAGGTTTCCTACCAGGTTATCAGGCACAGCAGCGTAGCTGGGAACTCCCAGGACTTGAGAGAGGAAGTTGGGGTGGCAGTTCCGTCCGATCCACAGATACATCACCTTTTGGAAAAGAAGAAATTACAAATTGAATACAATCACAAACTAAGATGGAAATCTGGAACACATTTTTTGGATGCAAAATGTAATTAATGCAGTACAAATCTTCCATCTTCCAATGTTAATGAAGGTGAAACATTATTTGTGTATCCGCCCCGGCATATGGATGCAAACCAACATTTATAGTATTGTACTATTGGAAGTTAATGTTGAATGATAGCAATTAGAGGCTTGAACAGGGAAAACCACACAATCTGTGTTTATTATCCCTCTTGTAACATACTATAACACTTCAAGACTTAAGCTTCATACCGTTCCAGCATCCATGAGGAATGCTGCCTCCCTGCTGAGCTTCTCAACAGACAGCTGCAGCACTCTGGGCTGAGGGATGGTCCGCTCATTGATGTTCAAAGCTCCCTGAGGACACAGGAAACACAAGGTAAAAGATTACTCAGTAACAAGGAGACACGTCAAATAAGATGGGAAACTATTGAGAGGCATGTTCAGGTTCATCCCACTCCTAACAAAAGCTGTGAAAGACTAAATAATGGTCTTTGTTGACAGAGGGAAATGTTGATCCTTCTCACCTCGTCGGTCAGATCGTCGACACGGTACAGAGCAGGGTGGATCATCAGCAGAGAGTAGACCAGGGGCTGGTACTTCAGCTGAAGCATGGCAAACACACGGTCATCCAGCCTGGTGCTGGTGCCCGTCCTGAAGGCTTTCTGCAGGATGCACACACATCAAAATAATAATTAGAGTGGCTTAAAACAGAAGATCTTGGGTTTAAAATGAGTTTCGTTGGTGTGGAAAGGGTTGGACAGTTCATTTTAGTGTTCTGTGTTTATTCAGAAGTAAATTAACTAACAAGGAAAAATATAACCACATCATATAGAACATTTCCTCTGACTCTGAACAAATAAGTCGTTTTAAGGGTAGCATTTGTCAGCAGTGCATTTGGCGTGTAATGACTGAGTTTTAGGGGAAGAGCGGACCTGTTTAAGCAGGGCGAGGATGAAGAGAGGGAAGAGTCTGAGGCAGGCGGGGGCCAGCAGTCCGGGCTGCTGGATGGTCAACACGGACTGCCGGTACGACGTCAGCGAGTCGATGGCAGCGTTGGTCATCGCATCTCTGGCGTCACTCAGACTGGCCGTCGCCGAGCGGTCCACAGCTGGAGGGAGAGAGGGACACATTTGCATTACAATCTTATTCTTTCTTGTGTTATACATACTTTAAGTGTGTTGTATTAATGTTGTTTTTTTATGAGTTTTAGCATAGTCTTTAAGTACCCTAAAAAAAAGCGCTCTATAAATAAAGTGTATTATTATTAGTATCATTATTAATTATTACATTTCTGAATGTACAGCTGCAAACTCAGACCTTGAAGAGGTTGTTCTCGACATATTCCATATTTTTTACAGTGTTTGTGCAGACTTGGATAATCATAATAGTATAGTGCAACAAAGCTATTTTAAAATGTCAATGCAACTTTAGGACTTTCAGTATTACCACTTTAATGAGCAGCTTAGAACAGCAGTGGTAGTGCCATTTTGTGAAAAATATTAGCGTTTGTTCTCTAAGTGACTGCGGGATGAACCGACACAGATCTGACTGCTCAGTATGCAAGGGGTTGCTAGGCAACCACCGCTGTCAGCACTCATCTCCATCTGTCAGGGCTAATAACAGTGAAGTGGATGCAAACCCTGCAATGATTTGGTATTGAGCCAATCAAAAGACTATTCACTGCAACAACGGAGAATCATTTGCACGAGTGATGTATTACACAAATCCTAATTCATGTAGATGAGACACACAGAACGTATTGTGTGATCAAGTATCCAGAAAATGATCATCGGCATCTCTCTTGGAAATATGCATGAATACATTTTAACTTTATCTTCAAATCCCTGTTTAAAGTTACAATACACAGGAATGAAAGCAGCTGTTACACGTCAACTACAATAATGAGTTATAACAAACATCCGGTAAGAACAAGTGCTGCATGAACAAAATAAATCAAAGGTAACATGCGAAAACAATTTAATTTCATAGTAAAATGTGGTGGAGGGGGATCAAATGAGTTGCTACTGAAGGTGTGCAAAATCTGAGTAAACCCTTACTCAGATTATCTTACACAACATTCAATAACTCTGCAAAGAACCGGGACATCTGGTTCCTCAATTTGTTATGTTCATCTACTAAAAGGGGAAAGATTCTCTGTGCGCACCAGAGTTTAACATGTGCAGGTATAAACATGATTTTGTGGCACACCAAACAGGTTTCATATCAACCTGGGTTTATATTTGTATAATCATTTATTTTTTGACATTTTATTGTCTGGAACAGGGGTCGGCAACCTTTTTGATATGAAGTGCCATTTAAAAAAAAAAATTTTATCAGCGTGCCAACGATCGAGAACTATCAGCAGGAGGTCGGGGGAGCCTC